GTGCCCCCTCCCAGCTTCTTGTGCCCCTGGCAGAGCATGGGAAGTTGAAAACGTCCTTGCTCAGGGTAAGCCCTGCTCAGCAACAGCTAAAGCATCCGTGTGGTATCAACATTCTTCTCATACTAAATCCAAAGCACAGCACTAGGTCAGCTACTAGGAAGAAAATTAACTCCGTCCCACCCAAAACCAAGACAGGGGAGAATAGGATATGGAAGCTATTTCCAAAATACCTTGAACAAATCAGCATTCTTCCTTATGGACGAAGAAAATGACAGCACAACATGCTGTGTATAATGGGACCAGGGAAGGAATCTGTGCTCCTTGGTCAGTTTTTTGTCAAGATAAAAATCTGCTCCAGATTGAGGACATAAGCAATGTCAGGGGATTCAGTCTTGCTCGCAGTGCTGGTCTGCTGCTGGGTCTGGGTAAGGACCTGCATTGCATGCGATGGCTGCTCGCCAAAGTAGAGAACACTCCAGTGCCCAATCTACAGGCACCCTTGAAGGTAAGGTGTGTTGTTGGGTTTCTGGTTTGGGGTTTTGGTTTTTTTGTTTTGTTTTGTAATTTACTCAATGTGCAGACCAGCCAATGAATTACAAACACTGCTTTGTCCCTGGTGGCGATGGACCAGCTCATGCCTGCCTTCTATCGTTACCTCCACTCCCTATATTACCTTTCTCCCGCAACCTGGAGGCTGCTCTAAGATTGCCTCCAGGACCTGCTTACCTCCCTCAGGTTCATAAGCATGTGCGAAATGCTTTTCTTCTGTCTTGTCTAGAACTCATCTCCTAACCATCAGCTGAGCTTGCAGTCCGCAACAGTAGTCTGTCTAGCGTGTGCATCCACATAGTTGAATCATATGGCCTTACGACAGAGGCGCTGCATGAGACTAGGCAGTGACAGTGCAGTGTGTTTCTGTACACTGTCAGGGGCTGACATACTTCCTGGATACTTGTGAGCTGGGTGTGCGAGGTGGCTCTGAACAGCCAGCAGCTTTTTGACATCCCAACTCAGGGGCAGAGAGGTACCACTTCCTGAAATAGGATGCCAGCAGAAGACAGAAGAACCAGCCCCCTGTGTGGTGTTACCGGCTTGCGCTTCCCAAAGATACACTTTGGGTCTCCTGCTGGGTCAGCTGCCTTTGCGTGCCACCACCCGGGGAAGCAGCAGCGCAGCTGAGGAACATACAGGATGATAAGTAAGACCATCCTTTCCTAGGATCGTGCCAGACAGATCAATCTTCAGGATGACCTTTTTTCCCGATGTTTGTTGTTCCAATTAACTGGCAAGATTGTACCCCTCCTGCTTGCTTTTTTTTTAACAGTACTTATAAAGCGGATGTAGTGGACTCTCTTTTTCCTTTGCGGAAATTTCTTGGCAACTCTCTCTTCCTGTGAGGCCAGTGGCTGTAGGCTGGGATGGAAATCCTCATGCAGTCAGATGGCAAGTATCTCCGGAGGGGAGTGCGCTGTAGGGAGCACCTATGACTACACGGGCAATATCTTCCTGAAATGTAAGCTTCCCTTTGTAACGGGAGGTCTCTCGCTAGGCATTTTTGATCCCAAGTGAGTGTGAAGGGAGGTGGTTATATTTGTTGGTAGGAAATAGGCAACAGCTTACGCTTCTACAGGCTCAGATGTTTTAAGTCTAGTCCCAATGCTACTTGGCTATATGCATATGGATGGATTTTTGGACTGCTATCCTAGATGTGGGACCTAATCAACATGTACAAATACCTCAAGGGTGGATGTCACGAGGAAGGAGCCAGACTCTTCTCAGTGGTGCCCAGTGACAGGACAAGCGGCAATGGGCACAAACTGAAACATAAGAGGTTTCAGTTGAATTTGAGGAAGAACTTCTTTACTTTGAGGGTGACAGAGCACTGGAACAGGCTGCCCAGGGGGGTTGTAGAGTCTCCTTCTTTGGCAATATTCAAAGCCCACCTGGACAATGTCCTGTGCAACATGCTCTAGGAGAACCTGCTTTAGCAGGGGGGTTGGACTAGATGATCTCCCAAGGTCCCTTCCAACCCTTGCCATTCTGTGATTCTGTGGTTTCAATCAGGCCCCCTACCTCTGACATAGTGCCAGACTGAACAAAGTTAATCTGGAGTAAAGAGGTGGCTGGCCTGCTGCCAGCAACTGGCCATGCTCTGAAAAGAAGAGTAAAATGTTCATGCATTCAGCTGCCTGTCAGGATAACGAGTGACTGACTCCCAGCTGTCAGCAAGGCGCTGCAGGGGCAGTACGTGCCTCTGAGCTGCAGGTGCATGGGCCCAGCACAGGAACAGCAGGCAGCAGGCGCGCCAGCACCTGAACCAGCACTCAAGACTGTGTCCCCGTGTACCTACCTCATGCAGTGTGGCCAGAGCCGAGGTGGTAACAGGTCTCATCACCCTGAACTAGTTCCCCACTGACTGGTAAGAACTGGGGGTTGTTAGCTTCTATGGGAGACAGTGAGTAACCTCTTGTGCTTGAGGCACTGAAGGTGATGTGGGTTTGAGGCTGAGGGGCTGAAGCTAGGTTTTTGTGCAAAGCCTTGCACTTGACTATTTAGATAGCTAGGTAACTCAGTCCATGGGCCTGTTTTTAACAGAAGGCTAGAGCAGACAATCTCTGGAGGTCCCTTCCAACCTAGACTTTTCTGAAAGAAAATTATAGAATTAAAGACGTTTTGTCTAAACTCTTTTTTCTATATATGGATAACTACGCAGTCTTACCTGTCTATGTCAGAGGAGTAAGGGAGAAGGGGATACAGCCTTGTGAGCCGGGATAATCTCTGATGTAGAGGAGTGCTAAGATGCCAAGCTCTGAAGATCCTGCCATGGATCATCTTACCGCTACTGAGCTGAGTTTGGTAGAGCCACAACGTTGTCTTTGCTTTGCAAGGGCCACCCTTAAAGGACTTAGTACCTTTAGTTCAGTGCTGGCTCTGAGGGGCCTGGTATGGTTCCTGCAGGACCTCTTGCAGCATCCTGGCTGGTGTTCCAGCAAAAAGGTGCATTAGTCTGGCACCTCTGCCTTTGCCGAGCTTCGTGCCCCAAGTGATAATCCTCCTGCGAGGTGGGGTGTGAGGGAGAGGTGGCAGAAACAACCCAGTTCAGTGCGGTGTGGTTCAGGCACTCAAGGTTTTTGAAGTAGGGATGTGCCAGTATGTTAACACAGTTCCTGATTATTATTCTGTTTCCTGCCCTGAGAGGCTTTATGATTTCAGATTTATGATCTGAACGCGCTGCTTTCGAAAGCAATTAAAACCTGTTGTCTTTTTGTTGCACTGGTCTTGCAGTGACTCATTTGTCCCCAGCTGCCGTGTACTTTAATGCTAGTGAAGGGACAATTGCTTTTAACTAAAATTTTTATAGAGCGCTCACGACCCACTTGTTGAGTCCCAGAGCAGAAACGGTAATGTGCTTTATCGCCTGTCTCGAAGGGAACACTGCTGCTTCACTTTTTCCACAGCCGGGAAACGCAGCGGGTGGTGCTGTTCTTCCGCGGGTTTTTTTTGCCGGGCCCCACGCTCCCCATCGCCGCCTCGGGCCCCGAGGAAGCGAGGCCGGCGTGCCGTGCCGTGCCGTG